TCTATATATATATATATATATTTCTAAAAGATCTATATTATAAAGATATTAAATTATCTAATTATATTAATTAATTAACACAAATAATTAAATACATATACGTAATTTGATTCAATTGATAATGAAATTTAACGAAAATGTAATCTATTGAAATTTGTTCAATTCAAACGCTGCCTCTGATTTCAAAAAGTTTTTTCATGCTTTAAAAACTATATTAATCTATTCTTTTTCTTTTTTAAAATTGTGCAGATTCTGCTGTTGGCAACCGCCGTGTTGGCGGCCGAGAAGTCGGGAGACGCGAAGAATCACGACAAACGGAGTGTGGCGGGTGATCATGGTTACGGTCTAAGCGGTATCACGAGCTACGGTTTAGGCGGTATCTCAGGTTACGGTTTAGGTGGTATCTCAGGTTATGGTTTAGGCGGTATCTCGAACTATGGTCTAGGATACGGTCTAGGAGGATACTCGACTGGACTCGGCACAAAAGTACTCGGGTCGGGTCTCTCAGGAATTACCCTGGGTAACAACCTCGCTTCCGCCTATGCTTCTGGATTAGGATATGGTCTAGGAGGTTCTTACGGAGGATACTACGGAGGTTATAGTAGCCCTTCTTATCTCATCGGTGCTGGTCACGCCACCGGATTCAATGCATTACCCAGCTTGGCGCATGCTAAAACTGAACGCATCACCGGTCTTACTGTGCACCGCGAAGTCCAAGTGCCAGTTCCGGTGCCACAAGCAATTCCAGTCGAAGTACCCAAAGCCGTACCCGTCCCACATCCCGTACCTTACAAAGTAGACCGTCCCTACCCCGTTCCAGTAGCGCAACCAGTACCTGTCCCTGTCACTCGACATGTACCCCTAAAGGTTGACCGTCCCTATGCCGTTCCAGTAGTGCGACGCGTCGAAGTACGCGTACCACAACCGATACCGATTCCAGTATCGCAGCCGGTACCCGTTACAATCCCCGTCACGAAACACGTGCCAGTTTCCGTGCCATCTACCATCGCATCATCGACTATTGGCTTCGCATCTGGAATTGCGCCCACTGAATACGTCGGCTTAGGATCCGGCAGTCTGGGATCCATTTCGGGTACGACTCTGGGTACCGGACTGACTACCGGTTATCTCGCCAATGGCTTGGACAGCGGCGTCATCTCAAGCGGTTTCTCCAGCGGTCTCGCCACTAATGGTGTGGAACATATTGGACTTAGCAGCGGCGTGGAGCATGTTGGACTCAGCAACATACACCCAACTGGGTACACCGGCATTGTACACCCAACTGGGTACACCGGCACATTTGGATCTACCGGCACGTTTGTGGCGTCTCACGATGCTCTCAATGCCGAATATCCATTGAAGAAGTGGTAAACTCAATTCGACAACTCGATTGGACGTGTGTCTTTTAAAGCGCTTCTCGGGCGTAATTTACGGATCGAACGTGCACAAATACCAATTGTGTTATGTACGTTGTCGAATAAATTTATTTTTATACACATTATCTCACACGATTGTCATTTAACTGTATTATGTGCAGTTATGCAATTACAACGGCTTTCTTTTACTTTGAAATAACCATTCAGATCCTCAATATTCTTTAACGTTTACAATATTCTTTTACATCTTTTTGTTAAATAATTTTGCCAGAGATCTGAACAATTATCTTCTTTACACAATTTCTCTTATCTCTCAATATGTTTTTGATGTAAGTTTGTTTTATTTTCTGAAACAAACTCCGGTCCGCACTTCTCTAGTCTAATTATAATTTAGATATACCTTTTGTAAATCTCATTGAAAATAAAATTTAAAAAAAAATAAAAAAAAGAGTATTTAAAAAATGTCCTGTGTAATAAAATGGGAAAGGAAGAATATTGTATTGAATAATCTAAGAATAACATTATATACAACAGTACGAAATGTAAGAGCAAAGTCCGAGTAAAAATTATTATTAAAAATTTCAAGGAGCTGCCTATCAAAAGTTCGTGATATTTCTGTAAAAATGTCTATAAAAATTTTTTTTCAATAAGAATCTTATTGGACTGTGTTTATATGAATACACAACCAATAGGGAAAAAGCCTAGAACGATCAAAGCTAAATCTTTGGTGCTTGAATAATTCTGAAATAATTAATGCTTAAATAATTAATGCTAAAATTTTAATCCTTAAATAAACTGTGTATGTGTGTGCGTGTGCGTGCACGCGCGCGCGCGCGCGCGTGTGTGTGTGTGTGTGTATGAATTTATATATTATATATCAACTTCTGACTGTGCGCTGAATTAATTTTTCTGTCTTAAAGCCCTATACTGATAAAGAACTATCGTAGTACTATCAGAAATTATTAAATTGTTTAGCAATTTAATAATTTGTTCTCATAGGCATCTTAGAAAGATCTTACTAACATTGATAAACGTATTAAAAACAAGTTTTTAAGAAATCTCTTCTCTGTGTTTGTTCGTCAAATATAAAATTACATTCATATCAAATTGCCTAAAAATTATGGATTTCATCGATAAAATGAAAAAAGTATTAAATGAAAATGTATGGAGATAATATATATGTCACCCAACCGCCCTCCCCCCTCCTTTAGGGTTAAAATAGAGATGTCTCTGCAAATACATGACACATGCAATGAAATCGATGCAATTGACTATATAGCTGCATTTTGCGAGGTGGAGGAATGACGTCACGAAATTTCTTTCACGCCACACGGGGCTTGCACGGGGCTTGTTCTGAACACAAATCAGAACTTTGTGAACGGACAACATACAAATCAATTTTTTAGCTAAAAACACCAAATAAAAAAGTTGGTTGTATGATTTGCATCAGACAAAATATTCCAATTAGCTTTACATTTTTTCTATTGAAACTTAAATCTTTTACGTTATAAAATAAAAATAAATTATATAACATTATATAAAATATAAAATAATAATATAAAATAATACAAAATTTATACATTATTATGCAAAGTGCATAAATTGTTACTGCTTTTTTATATAACAATATAAAAAATATTTTTTTTGTTAAGAAATACATTAAATTTAATAAATTTAATGTAATAATCATTTTACATAAATTTTAATTTTAACAAAATAATAAAAAATAAATTCTTTTATTCACAAAAATGATATCCAAAAAAATAATACATATAGATTTTATAGGTATAATGTACATTTTGATACGTAAATAGATTTTATATAAACTTATATAAAATTTTCATAATCAATTCTCTTGTAAGTACGCTGAAAAAAAAGTTGTTAACTTAAATGCGTAATTCGTAGTGATTTTTTAGTTCAAGTATTTATATATTTAGATTAAATATACGTGAATTAGAAACAAAATTTTGTAATTTAAAACATGTTTGAATTATTAAATATTTGTTTAATTCAAATATTTATTTACTTGAATTATTTGCTTGACAACCCGTAGCTTTGCTAATAAACTAATATTTTTTTAAATCAGCAATTTTTTCCTCAGTGTAGTAAAAATGAAAAAAAGTTATTGTTAAAGTCTCTATATAAGTAATATAAATAAAAGATTTATTCTTCCTACAAACAATAATAATTACTATATAATTACTATATAATAACATTTTCGTTTAACATTTAAGAATAAGATAATCCGTGGTCCACAAGAAATGGATATTACCATTTGAAGCTTTCATCAAGATTTCTGATTTGTTTCCTTTATTTTGAGTTAATTATTATTCTTTTTTGCAATATTACCAGGATATTTATATTAATTTTAATCAAACTTTCAGATATTATTTTTTTTAAATTTCGTATTCTACATCAAGTTTATTTTTTCTGCTCAAGGAATTTTACCAGTCTTACGTATTAACTACAATCGCAACGGTTGATAAGAGACTGCAACGTCGATATTATACCGGTATTTATCAGTCAGGTATCTACTATACCGACATAATACTGTTAATAAGAAGAAATCCTTCTTATCAATGACAAAATTTATGTAATAATTGAAACATCCTAAAAGACAAGAGCATAGAGATTTGCTTAACGTATAATATATAATGTATAATGCATAAAAAAATATCGAAGTTCTTCATTTTTTTCTTTTTGAAACAAAAATGTATGATTCATTTATTTTCTTATGAGTTATGCAAAAGTCTGTGTGTTTCGACCTTAATAATTAAAAAACAAATTATTATGACTTACAGTAGATGAACCATATTTAGAATGCAATTGAATAAACTCCAAACTCACCTGAAACAATTAAAAAAATCAATGCTATTTATAATATTTTTCAAGTAGTTGTCATAAAAATAAAACTATATCAAAAGTTGTATCAAAGCAAGCATTTATAACAATTTTATTTTTATGTAAATAGCTAAGATTCTTTATTTCATCTATAAACGAACTATACTTTAATTAGTGCAATCTTTTTAATTTTCAGCAAAGAATAGTCCTGCATAAATTAGGAAATGGAGAGAGAATATAGGACGATTTCTGCATATTACATATCATGTTACAAATATTAACGAATCTTCCTATTTCCGACAATGAAATTAACTACAGAAAATAAGTGTGCACTATATTGACAGATCGTTCTAATTTATTGTATTTTATCGCATAATTTATATCTTGTTTATATATTGATTTATCTGATACGCTCCACAGTGTTCGATCAAGAAAATAGACGATTTTATCTATTCGTATAAAATTGCGTACAGAGCGATAGTTTTTCCGTTTACAGCGAAACGAATGTTGAATAAAAAAGCATCTCGATCGCTAACCATAAATGAAAAAAAATATTTTTGTACATTCTATTTATTTTAAAACAATTTTGCCCAACAAACGAAAAATATTACTGCAAAATGTTTTCACTACAATACATCGTTTTTATTTGCGTCAATGTAGTATTGAATACAATATTCCATTGCAAAACTTTCTCTTTTTTTGCAAAATTAAGAGAACATAATGAAAAAATTAATTATTAATTTGTTCTACATTTTCCATTTATATTCTAATACAATTGACATTTATATAATTCTAATCGCCTAAAAATATTCTTAATAAAACGGATCGTTTTGTCAAGATTATACAAATGCATTTATCCTGTGCCGTGATTCACTTTGAAGTCTGTGCAAACCGTATTATTTAGTTTCAAGGATCAAAGTCATGCGATTTCGCTTGCGTCAACATAATGCACGTCCAATTTTCGTACAACAACACGCGCTTAACTTCTGTACAGCAATGATTTTATACGTAGAAATTAATTTTCCTGTTCAAGTACAAAGCGATGCATATAGTGAAAAACGAGATAATATTAACTCCTTCAACTACAGCTATGAAAACTAAATTCAAGTTCTAAAGTCTATTTGAAAGACAGAATGCAAGTGAACCTCCAACTTATAGTGATTGACAGAAGAAAGTTCAAAGTTTTTTTGTTTTATAATTTAGAACCTTGTAACATCAATCATACAGATTATATGCCTAATTATCCAGAAATTTTCGCTTTGGATCCAAATGACCCGTTGTTGCTTGAAAGTTAATATTATAGTTCAAAATAATGAAATATATACTAACTTAATTTTCTTATATTTCTCAAGTAGCATCTAAAATCTTTTCATCAAAAGTTATATCCGTAACAAATATAATATCACAGTTTTATTAAATTTTATGTAATAGCCTAAAATTTATTTTTACGTCTTTTTGATAGAAAACATAATTCATTTTTCACTTTATTAATTATTGCCTTATTTATTAATTATTCACATTATTAATTATTATTAATTTTAATATTAACAATAAATTAGTAAGTAAACTCAAGAAAATATAATGTTAAGTTCTCAAATATCGTCGTAAGACCCTTACTAAAACAGACTCCTAAGCAAGATCTAGGTCAGATATATTGACATTATCACGTATCCTATGTGTACAAGAGGAATCCCGGAGGATCATTTCGCATACACCCCTCTCGGCTCTAACACCCCTTTCGGCTCTCTACAAAACACTTTGTTATGATCAGATAAATCACCAAAAACATAAGTATCACTTCAAATAATTAATCATTTACAAATAACAATTGACGACATCCTTTCTAATTCAATAATTGTTGTTGAAACGAAACTATAGTTGACTCATTTTCGATTGTAGACGTACCCACTGACCATAGATACATGTCAATTTGATCTATTAATCGAAATTACCCATTGTGACAATATTAACTATCTTGATCACCTAATATGCCATATTCTTGATGACCATATCTCACAAGTTTAATGCTTATTAGAATGTCCCATCAAGTACTAAAACTATAATGTGAATGCGTTATTAAACTCTGATCTCGATTCTCGTCTCATCTCGTCTCATAAATCTGAATAAGTTTTAAAGCTAAAGTAAAAATCAACATATAAGGGAAGTAAAAGCGTCTTTGGCAAATTCTGCAAAACAGCTTAAGGCGTCACAAGTATGTATCAACTTTTACGTATATTTAAAGTTATTTAAAGTTAGAGCGTGCAAACGTTGCACGCTTTCTTTATACAAATACCATCGACGCAATAAGAATTCTCGAAATTCCTCTCAACCATCTTCACCTTACCAAGGATTCCTGAATGCTATGAGTAACTTTAAAATAACTTTGCTTTTAGCGTTTATCGACAGAGCTTTCAAATTAGTCGGCCGTCTATCGATGTTCGCAGACATTTTGGACCTGAATGGTGATTTCTACGATTTCACGAGAAATTCGTTTCCGGTAAATGATTTAAGGAAAAGTGGCTCATGCTTGAATTGTACTCTGCAGCAAGTGCTAAATATATTCGAGAATTAACAATTTTGAGAAAGTTTAAATAAGGATTTCAGAAA